TCTCCTCTCTCTCTCTCTCTCTCTCTCTCTCTCTCTCTCTCTCTCTCTCTCTCTCTCTCTCTCTCTCTCTCTCTCTCTCTCTCTCTCCTCTCTTCTCTCTCTCTCTCTCTCTCTCTCTCTCTCTCTCTCTCTCTCTCTCTCTCTCTCTCTCTCTCTCTCTCTCTCTCTCTCTCTCTCTCTCTCTCTCTCTCTCTCTCTCTCTCTCTCTCTCTCTCTCTCTCTCTCTCTCTCTCTCTCTCTCTCTCTCTCTCTCTCTCTCTCTCTCTCTCTCTCTCTCTCTCTCTCTCTCTCTCTCTCTCTCTCTCCTCTCTCTCTCTCCTCTCTCTCTCTCTCTCTCTCTCTCTCTCTCTCTCTCTCTCTCTCTCTCTCTCTCTCTCTCTCTCTCTCTCTCTCTCTCTCTCTCTCTCTCTCTCTCTCTCTCTCTCTCTCTCTCTCTCTCTCTCTCTCTCCGTCGCGTTAAACCGCTTGCATTCCGTTCGATAATAGCGCGCAACCTTTGCCTCAAAGCGACTGCTCGCTTGCCATTATGTGTGCATGACGTACGCTGCTCTGGCTGGCTGTGTGAGCCGTGGCTATTGAATTCGCTGAAAACCGGTATATCACCACTGCGAATATTACACGGATTGGGTATGTTCCTCTCTAATCCAGCGTCACCCTAGAGGAGCTGCGAAAAAAGCTGAAAAAGGAGCCGGTGCACGATGAAAAACCGGACGTTTACAGACTGTTTCAAGAGGACGACGAGAAGAAGGCAATCCAGTTGTAAGTTGGCTGTTTGCGCGTGCTAAACAATATCGTTTAAGCTTCGCACAGGTAGAAAAGTGTGCAGCTGGCATTTATCACGCATACATGATTCAAGATCACGTTCATTGCTTGAACGTGAACTCGAGCGAGCTCAACGGGACATGCAGATATTTCAGTATGTGTGCTGTGATTGTAGTTGTTAGAAAAGATATTAAATCGATTGATATAGAATTTTCTAGAATGACTGGTTTTACACCAAACAACGTCTAATAAGTATTTTCACCAGATATCCTTGTTTGACCTTTATATGCATGTTTGCCCGTGTGACCAGAGCTGAAGTGAGGTCGGAGTTTGCGCAGCTCAAGAAGGACATGATTAAAAGAAAGCAAGGGGAGGCAAAGCTTGAAAAAGCGGCCGAAGAGGAAAAAGAGCCTGAAGACGAAGCTATACAGGAATACAAGGCACAAAAGGCACCATTCGAGGAGAGAAAGAAAGGACTGCCAAAACCCGGTTAGCTTTGCGTACGATAGTTACTGTGTACCTTTTATTGTAAGTTGTTTTATTTTTACTGTTTTATAGGTTTCTGATTTACTGTATGGATACTCAATGTGTTTTATTACATTATTGTGCTCTGGGGAGCATACCTGATGTGGCGGTTTTTGGCTTATGGCGCAAAAGACTGAGTGGCACATAGACCCCGCCTCATGAGAGGGGGACGAGTTGAATAAACCCCTTTTCAGTGTTGCAAGACAGCATTGTGCCCATGGGCATTTCGTGAAGAGAATCTCAATGAAAACTTCAAATGTCGCCTCCCAACCCTCCTGAACTTCTGTACGCTGATGGACCCCCTGCCCCGGTCTTGTTATCGCCCTGTTTAAGTTACACGTGGTATCATCTGATGCGTCAGCAGCGGCACGCGACGCTTCTCCCAGTAGGTGATCACGGTAGCCACAAAACGTGGCATTGCATACATATGTGCTATATGTGATGCAAACTACAGAAAACCCGTCTTGCGACCTAGCAAGGCGAAGTCGCGCGTTTCGTTGTGCGCGTCAGTGTTGCACAGAACGCTAGAGCTGTCTTCGTGTCTCGAACAGGCGCGTCATCGCGCGAGGCGCAGACCATGGCTCTGCTAGAGAAGTTCAAGAGCAAGCTGCACCGCGCTCAGGAGGAGCACGCGGACACACCCGAGGAGCCGGCCCCTGCCGCCGACGGCGAGGACGCCGAGGATGACGAGTCTTGGTAGGTCAGGTGGCAGGACCAACAGTTGTTTGACGGCCAGACCATCCATGTGCCTCATGACACAGATGCAATAACTAGAGATGTCTTCGAACGTAAAAGCTGCAATGTCAAATGACAAACAATCGTGTGGGAGCAGTAACATATTCTTGCAGCAGGACTTCTCCCTGAAACGGTCCGCACTATCTGTCCACTTTGTGTCACTGGCAATAATGCCGTGTTATTCGTCTGATGTCTGCGCTATGGGTTCGCACTACGGGTTGTCCCACCGCTTTCCTGCTCCTCACAGGATGTGGCACAAGCTGCACTTCACCGCCAACACGCCCACGCTCGCCAAGGACGCCAGCAGCAAGGCAGACGACTGGTACGACATTTACGACCCGCGCAACGAGATGAACAAGCGGCGCCGGCAGGCGGACGCCCGGCGCGGTCGCGACGAGCGGCGGACAGAGCGGGGCCGGCGCGCAGACGTCTGAGCCGGGTGCGGCGTCCTGAGGGGCCGCGGTGCAGCGTGGCGCAGGGTTGTCAGGGGCCGCGGGGTAGCGTGGCGCAGGGTTGTCAGGGGCCGCGATGACTGACTGACAGCGAAGTCGCTGCCGGCCGGGTGGACGCGGTCCGAAGCGGCGGTTCGGACGCGCTGCCTTCCTGCCCAGTCTTTTGGCGTGGAACGTATGGACGGTGCAGCAATGGACACGGAGTTGACCATCTCTGATGGTGGGCACCGATGGGATCTGTTCGAAGTGGTGTAGCGTAACCGAAGGCGTTTGAACGGTAATCGGTGATGTGTGCACTCCGGCGTTGCCGGCCCTCAAAAAGCGAATGATTGTTGAACGCCGCCGTGATGCGTTTTTCGGAGTCGCAACAAACTATCGACCATGGTCAAACTCGTGTTAGTTCACCACCGGCTGTGAAAAGAATGTGTGTGTGTGTGCGCCCGCGCACGTACGCGTGCGTGTGTGCGTGTCTGCGTGCGTGCGCGCGTGCGTGCATGTGCGTGTAAAACATTGGCGATCGCGACAGGTCAGACTGCTCGCACATTTGGCAGTAACACCCAGGCCTTATTTATGTTTATCATCGGTAACAGTTAGATTGCATCGCTTGTGTGTGCGTACCATCCCCTGCGCCTTACTCCCACCTCCCATTTCTGTGAATGCAGCTCATGCTATGCATGATGATGCGTACCATCGTGATGGATGTAGCTCAATACACCAGTCGCCTCTAGAAATGCGTGCAAGAGAGGAATTATGAATGCGTTGGAATGTCCGTTTATCGCGGGCTTAGCATGCGGGGGCAGGGTTCACTGGTGTAGAGCGCATGCTCGCAGAACCATAAGTAGTGCCGCTTAGACTTGGACTGGCTTCGGTCTGGAAAAACCTGGCCATGCCAGTCTAATAAATCAGCCACACTTGCAATAAGTTACACTTCGGGTAACTTGCCCGAGTATAATGGAAGGCACACGCTTGGAGACCTTTTTTGTCACAATGGCCTCGGCGAAAGGTCAGTGTGCAATATCACGTTGCACTGTACCGTTTCCCGGTTAATCCCTGTGTGTGGTATTTGGAATTGAGTCTGAAAACAGCAGCATTGGCCGCCTCTGCTAGTTCGCTGCAGGTCTATGCTCGCATCTGCCAGGTCTGTCCGCCGAGAACGGACATCAGGCCATGCTGCGCGCCCTTTTAACGCTAAACATGACTGGTGCCCGAGGGTGCGCGACTGGCTGCAGAAATCGACTTATGGGTTATTCAACGCCAGTTCAACCTGACGAGTCCATGCCACCATCCAGATCTGAACAAAACCTGCTCCAATGGGTTATCTCGGGCTCCGATAACGATGCGTGTTTTTATGCGCCTCTCCTCAGCCGTTTTCCGTCGATGAGGACGCCAGAAAATGGTGTGATAACGGAAATGCGCCAAGTAAACCGACGACAAGTCTGCGCTTTGTGTTATCAGGCCAGGGTGTTAAGGTTGCCGAATGAGAGCATTATTGCTCGAGGGCGAAATTCCTTTTTGAGGTGTAAAGCAAGTGTCACCTGGATTCTTCTCTTTGGCAAGTGACCACACCCTTCATTAACACCTCGCTTGCGGAAATTGGGAAAAAGCCGTCATACCCCACCTAATGAGATTCAGGGCACTTGAGCTTCTGGCGTGTTATGAAGGATACACTTGACGTACACAGACGGATCCAAAACCTCGGACGGCGTGGGTTGTGCTTTCGTCAGCGGTTCCGTCACTTGATCGTTCTCGTCACCGGCCCATTCGTCAGTTTTCACAGCGGAATCAACTGCGATTACCAAGGCGATATGTTTTATAGAATTCGGTGAAGAATCTTCACACGCCATTTTTACAGATTCACTGGGCAGTCGCTCTGCACTGGTCTTTTTATCCATCATGTCCCCTTATACAGGACATTTTATCACGCCTGACACAGTTGAATCGGGTTGGAAAGAAAGTTGCCCTGTGCTGGATCCCCTAGTCACGTCGGCATCGTGGGCAACGAGTTGGCTGATGCCGCTGCTAAGCGAGCAGCGGTGGCACCATGTACCCGGTTTTGCCTATCCCTGCCAGAGATTTCTGCCCGGCAGTTAAGACCTTTCTCAAAATCAAACAGCAGCGCTGTTGGGACCAGGTGGGCGGCAATAAGCTCAGGGCGATATACAACCGAGTTGGGCTTGTGGTCGTCATGCTCTCGCAGTGTGGGGTGGGAAGAAGTGGCTTTATGCAGGTTGCGTATTGGGCATACGTATGCCACCCATGGCCATCCGTTGCATGGAGCCGACATACCCCTATGCCATCGGTGTGGTGCCGTTTTCACTGTCCACCATGTCATTGTATCATGTCCGCGCCTCATCGAAGAACGAAGACGCCACTTTGGTCCGCAGGTTTCGTCCCTGACGATTAGCGGTGTGCCCGGGGACAGTTCCTCCTTTCTTGATTCCAAACAACTCTTTTCATTCTTAAAAGATCTTGACTTTCAAGTCATTTTCACACCATACTAGTTAAGGAAAAGCATCGTTATGGACGCAAAATGACCACTGCAGTCGACGCGCCCGAAAGCACCAATAAACAACAAATTAAGAAGGCAAAACAATGCCCCAATTAACAATATAAAGACACCACTGGCGTATTATTACGTCCTTCTCATATTAAAAGCCAATTTGCTCAAGTTGATGCCACCTTTCATTCGTTAGAAACCCCGATTTTCGGAACCGGCGTTCACTTATACATCGGAACCCGTCAACAGAACAGTGGGAACTCGCACTTGCACCGGCAGCTGTCTGCCCACTGCCGCGCTGGTCCAGAATCCCGGCTCCATGCAGCCAGAGTCATCGTTTGAAAGACGATAGCGTCGCAGTTATTAACATTTTTCTCCACTCCCAAGGGTATCTCGGTCGTCTCAGCTGTGGCTCATTTGGCGGCGTGAGGTTTATCTGGATAGGCGGCCATGCGTGCACAGTGATTATGGAGAGTTTGCATATTTTAATACGATGTGAGGGTGGAGACACGTTAAACGATTTAACCTGGAGAGTAAAGTGACCAATACTTCTGTTAATTGTCTTTTGACACCGCGATTTGCTAGCAAAAGGCAGTTGTTGGCCACCGCTCGCGTTTAAGATTTACAGCATTTTTTTTACAAAATACACATGGAATGCAGGCAGCAACTCCCCATGGAGGGATCTGAAGGCCTAGGTCTATCACATCAGGGCTCTTATCAAACAGCCGGCCTACAGCTGGTAAGGTCAAATATACAGGATTCGTAAGAGCGTGGGCCCAGGCTCAGCTCCATTCGCTGGTCTTCTGAGCAACCAGGAGCCTCCTCAGTAGCCGTTTGTAAATCTGGGTCTTCGTCGTCGTCCACGCAACTGTCAACAAGTGCAGCTGTATTGACAGCCGTGCAGGTAACAACTACCTGCTGTATCTCTGGAGCCACCAGAATCCCGCCAGTCCCGTGTAAATCTCGTTTAAGCACCCATGGCTTATGTCTGTGACGTTAGCGATTTATTCAGCGATTTTTTTTAGCGACGAGTTCCGATTTCCCTGAAGTGGAATATGGAGTTCCCCGTCTTTTGAGCCCACGGTTGACCTTGAAGGATGACCGTGAGAGGCCAGGACTTTTTGATGGACGCTAGCTCTTTCTGGGATGAATGTTCTGATGTTTGCAAGTTAAAAATCGGCCGGTAGTTTTTGGGTGGTAAGAGGTTCCCGTCCTTTGAGCCCGTGTTTGACCTTTAAGGGTGACCTTGAGAGGTCAAGACTTTTTGATGGACGCTAGTTCTTTCTGTGGTGAATGTTCTGATCTTTGTAAAATAAAGCTCGGCCGGTTTTTTTGGGTGATATAGAGTTCCCCGTCCTTTGAGCCCGTGTTTGACCTTGCAGGGTGACCTCGAGAGGTCAGGACTTTTGGACGGACGCTAATTCCTTCTGTGTTGAACATTTTGAAACTTGCAAGTCGAAAATCGGCCGGTAATTTCTGGGTGATATGGAGTTACCGTCCTTTGACCCAGCTTTTGACCTTGAAGGTCATGATATTGCAAAAGAACGGTCATTTTTGGTGTTCTTGTGACACAGTTCACCTTGAAACCGTTTGTTCAGTGTTTAACCTGAATCAAATTAAATTGTCAGTTTCCAGTCAGTTCCCACACACAGCGAATCTAATGCGTTGTTTACCGGATTGAAAATCTAGCGGACCTGACGCGCTCCGTCGACGACAGACACCTGAAGACCTCACCAGCAGGCTGCTTGTGAGCTTCGACGCGACTACAATCAGCGCTGGAACAGATGAGCTTCCGGGCGCTGCCTTCAGCAGCGTATCTGTCCGGCTGACGACCGAAATTCCAACCGCGTAGGGGATTAAATAAATGACTGTGCTCTCGTTGTATAATCTCCGCACATCAAGACATTGAGCGGACCATGGCGCCCTGCCACGTGCGCCACCCACTGGTGCGGGTCATATTGGGCTGCCACGGGCATGCCGCAGTCTGCACTGCCGACCGGTGGCGAGCATGTCGCGCACACGCGTTCCATGTGCGGTACACATGAGCCCGGGTCTGTAGCGTCGTGCCAGCGGGGAAATGATGGATGGGATGGTCCTTGGTGGGTCACACGGCATATTTCCGGGCTGGATCTCGGTTTCTATCGGACTCCTACATTGTTTCAGGCTGAAGCTCTCGACTTGGTGTGGGTTTCGTTCAAGGGGTGGAACCGGCTGGTTCAAAGCTTGAAGCCGACTAGTTAATGATCAAATACTCTGCCCAGCCAGCACATGTCTGGCTGGGTGCAGACTCGCATGCTTCGGAGACTGTCGGAGCTAACTGACACGACCGGCGGTCAGCTGCTCTGAAGCAAGACTGATAATCGACTTGAGGGGCTGCTTTTTTACATGACAAGCTGTGATAAGCTGAACGAATTCTAATATAATAACAGTTTTAATTCGCAAGGGTGGGGGGCTCAGTATGGCTCCCCCAGCACGACTTCCACGGAAGGATTTCGCCTTCCTGGGAGCTATGCCTGGTCGATACTATTTCCCGATACTTGAGCCAATTGCGATAGCTGGCGGTGGCGGCGGCTTCAGAGCACGGCGCGCGCGGTCCATGGTCCGGTGGTGGCTGGCGGCAGCCAGGCCGGCACACAACTCACGGTCCCGCCGACGACACACACACACACACACACACACACACACACACACACACACACACACACACACACACACACACACACACACACACACACACACACACACACACACACACACACACACACACACACACACACACACACACACACACACACACACACACACTCACACACACACACACACACACACACACACACACACACACACACACACACACACACACACACACACACACACACACACACACACGCGCGCGCGCGCGCGCGCACACGACTCCAGGTGTAGCTTCGATTGGTGATCGATATCCATCACAGCTACTTGGGCCAACGGTGGCCATTAAGTTGTTCAGCAGCGCGACGACTTCTTAGCGTAGCGAGCGTGGTGCATGGGCCGGCAGTGGCGGCGGCGGCCGGCACATGATACAATTATCGTGTTTGCCCCAAAGTTTGCTAGAGCTTTGTCCGTCCCTTTCCCTAGGGAAAGTTTTTTGTAAGTTGGTCGACAGCGGATTATCCTCCTTCTGTGGAAGACGTGGTAATGCCCTTTCCATGTATAAGAAAGTGGCTAGCGAAAGTCATCCAG